CTGAAGTTGGACGCTTAACCAACTGAGCCACCCAGGCACCCCACTCCTTAACTATTTTTATTCCTTATAAGAATATAACAATTCTCCTCAAATTAAAAAAATATATATATATTTTTGCCAAAAAGAGATGCAATATAATCTTGTCTTACTTCATTCTTTGGAGCATTTACAGAATTTAAGGAAGAAATTTTAATTATTCTTTCCTTTGAAGATTTCACTCAAAAAGTCTTTCCAAGTTTATTTCTCTTTAAAATAGGAAACACAGGGGGGCGCCTGGGTGGCTCAGTCAGTTGAGCGTCCAACTTTGGCTCAGGTCATGATCTCAAAGTTCATGAGTTCAAGCTCCACATCAGGCTGATAGCTCAGAGCCTGGAGCCGGCTTCGGAGACACAGAATCTCTCTCAAAAATAAACTCTCTCTCTCTCTCTCAAAAATACACATTAAAAAATAAATTTTAAAAAATAGTAAATAAAATAAAATAGGAAACAAGGGTAATTGCATATATTAATGCATGCCCCAACTGCTGATATCAAAATCTCGCTTGCAATTAAAATGGGGTCCAAGATGGGGCATGTGGGTGGCTCAGTCAGTTAAACGTCTGACTTCAGCTCAGGTCATGATTTCACGGTTCTTGAGTTTGAGTCCTGCATCAGGCTCTATGCTGACAGCTCAGAGTCTGCAGCCTGCTTCATTCGGATTCTGTGTCTCCCTCTCTCTCTCTGTCCCTCTCTCTCTCTGTCCCTCTCTCTCAAAAATAAACACTAAAAAAAGATTTTTAAATGGAGTCCAATAAATAGAATTACTTAAAATATTTTGAATGTATGCCATGAGCTACATGCACACTTTCGAGCCATGTCTCTGTCCCATTTTTATATTTCTGTTTATTTTCTTCCTCTCTCCAACACTTGAACTGGGATTCTTTCACTTAGAATGTAATTTTAGGGGCACTCAGATGCCTAAGTGTTGGTTTAGCATCCAACTCTTGGTTTCAGCTCTGCTCATGATTTCACAGTTTGTGGGATTGAGCTCCATGTGGGGCTTTGTGCTGAGTGTGGAGCCTGCTTGGGATTCTCTCTGTCCCTCACTGCTCCTTCCCTGCTTGCATGCACAAGCACATGCTCTCTCTCTCAAAATAAATAAACATTAAAAAAAAAAAAAGAATGTAATTTTAAAACAAAGTCACAATCCTACCTACACACTCGAAATTATATCTTATGGGCATTAAGTTCACTAGAAAAATAAAACTGAAAGAAAAACCAGGAAATATGATAGAACATTTTCTGTTGATTATTTTCCAAAAAATATGTAACCATATCATATTAATACACTTAAATGATTCTAAGAATTTTTTTTATTTTTTATTTTAATGTTTATTTATTTTTGAGACAGAGAGAGACGGAGCATGAGCAGGGGAGGGGCAGAGAGAGAGGGAGACACAGAATCCGAAACAGGCTCTGGGCTCTGAGCTGTCAGCACAGAGCCCGACACGGGGCCCAAACCCACGGATCGCAAGATCATGACCCAGGCCGAAGTCGGACGCTCAACCGACTGAGCCACCGAGGCGCCCCAATGATTCTAAGAATATTAAAGAAGAAATTCACACGTTTCCTAAAAAACCATATAAAATGTCCATCTTACCGATATCATTAACAAGGGAATTAGAATCAGATGCCCCCAGGGTAGCTTCGAACTCCTCTTGGAGACGATATGCTCTTTGCAGGAGAGCTTCAAGTTTATGGATAAATTCAGTACTAATAATATCCTACAAGGAGAAGAAAAGTACACACAGCAAATATTAGATTCTAATGTTAAGATTCTCAATACCTTCCACTCTTAAATGAAAGACAGAGAAAGTGTGGGATATGAGGAAGGTCCATTGGGTGGTGACAGCACTGGATTCTGGCTGTGCCTTTAGCCAAGTCACCCCAGTTCTCAGGGATTCAGCTTCTCTACCTATAAACTTAAGGAGTGGGATTCAACCAGGGGTTCTCAAAGTAAGATCTCTGACCAGCAGTATCAGTATCATGTAGGAAGTTGTTAGAAATGTAAATTCTCAGGCCCCACCCCAGCCACTGAATTAGAAACTCAAGTCTGTTTTAATAAGCCTTTCAGATGACTCTAATGCATGCTGAAATTTGAGACTCACTAGCTGACATGATTGGTAAATATCAGTCCAGCTCTAATTCTGTGCGACCTTTATGAATATAATGGCACTTAATTAAAACAAGGCTTTAAAAAATCCCTTTAGAAGTCACAGTAATTCTATATATTCTTAGAAAATCAGGGAACTTGATTATGAATTGCAAATTTGGGATTTAATAACTAACTGAACAGAAAAAGCCCAATAAGACATACCCCTCCACACATACACTCTTAGTCCCAAGGGAGAAAACAAACCCATTGTATTAAATGCCACAAAAAAGAGGCACCTGGGTGGCTCAGTTAGTTAAGCACCCAACTTCAGCTCAGGTCATGAACTCGCGGTTCGTGGGTTCGAGCCCCACATCGGGCTCTGTGCTGACAGCTCAGAGCCTGGAGCGTGTTTCAGATTCTGTGTCTCCCTCTCTCTCTGCCCCTCCCCCACTCATGCTCTGTTTCTCTGTCTCAAAAATAAATAAACATAAAAAAAAATTCAAATGCCACAAAAAGCAAGTAAAATGAATCAACATTAAACATTGTTCAATTCTTCCAATATTATAAAGGCCACTCTCAGGAGAATCACCCTTACATCTACACTTTCTTCAGCAATGGCATCTCCTGCACCCAATTTAATGGAACTACAGGCTTCATCTTCAGCCTGTCTATTTCGAAAGGTGAGAGCCTGCTCCCATCGACGTAGCGCTTCTTCAAACAATTCCATACCTATGAATTAAGAACAGAATGATTGTAAACAAAAAAAATCAATGCCAAAATAAAATCATTTGGGGCTGAAATCTTTTCCATATGGTTATCAACAATGGCATAGTCTGACTGTAATTTTGGCACTAAAGAATAATCTTATGCTCACCTGATTTCATAACAGAATTTTATTTTATTTTATTCTATTTTATTTTATATAATTGATTTTATATAATTGATTTTATATAATTATTTTATTTTTAAGTAGGCTTCACGCTGAGCATGGAATCCAATGCAAGGCTCAAGTTCATGACTCTGAGATCAAGACCTGAGCTGAGATCAAGAGTTGGACACTTAATCGACTGAGCCACACAGGAGCCCCTTCATAGCAGAATTTTAATTTCTCAATATATTCTAGGCCTATGGTGTTAGCCAACCAAAAATCAGAGAGAAATGACCAATATGTTTTCTTTTATTTAAAGTAACTCAAATATATACAGTGCTTGGGATTTTTCTAGAATAGTATCATGCGTTCACCAAAAGTCCAACAATGACTAATTTTTACATTCACACAACTATCCTTCAAAATATCCACCTAAATTAAAAAGTAGGTAAATAGAAGACAGTAGTTGTTAAGCTATCAGGTTTATAAGAGGTTGTCAGAAAGAGAGAATAAAACTAAGAAGAAATAGCATACTAAGTCTAGAATAAAGTTTTGCTGTGTCGATTTGGATAAATACAGTAATTGCTGAGTCAGTTAAAAATCTACAAGACCACTGCAAGAACCAAACAAGGGTTACAGTCTAAGTAGAAA